GCTCACAACCTTTTCGCTTTATTCTTTCTGACTTCTGCTTCGATCGTGTAAACCAAATACAGACAGCATAAGGTGAGAAAGTGGGTGGTTACTAATGACACAGAAGTCAGAAAGAATAAAGCGAAAAGGTTGTGAGCTAACTTGAAGTCGCTCGAGACATATCCGATGTTGAGTCTTTCTGTTGGTGGTGATGGTGGCTGGTAAACAGTTGCGGGCAGCCAAGGTGCTATCAATGCATCATATGATATTTTCAATGCATTTCGATAGGCCACGAGACGAAGAACTCGGGTTTCGAGAGAGTATGTGAACTATATATCTATCAGTTTATGGGTAGCAGTATTTCCGTACTCCTACCGTATGGAAGGGCAGAACAGATGGCACTGGTGGGGGCTCCATTGCTCCAGGAAGACGGAAACGTCGATACACTGTCGAAAGGGGAACATCCTTGCCCGATTTTCGGAGATGATGGTCTCGGTACCACTTTTGCTGAGTAATACGATTGAGCATCTCTATGAGGCGAATGACAAACCCTGTCTCGTTCACCGCTTTCTCGTATCTGTTAAAGGGTCCAAAAAACCGGCCAAGCACTTTGTCCCAGTGACTGGAGCGTCCATGAGAATAAGTATATAGTGTATTAAATCGACTTACCGACGTTGATCATCGGGCAGGTCTTGACCAAATGCCAACTGTACTATGGCACGCCATTCCTTGAGCCCACCAAATGTTCGCATAATGCCTTCTCCGACACCATATCCTTCTAGGAGTTGCTTCTTTGTCACAGTCTCAAGTTTACCCATCCAGCCTCTAGGAGTGTTGTCGCCCTCTTCTCGAAAGATGAGGTTTAGTTGTTCGTCCACCATGGGCTGTTGGGCAGTAGAACCCCTTCCACCCCTCCAGTCACAGATTGAGCTCATAGCATTTACAAACCCGCAAATCACATCCGGAAAGTCCGGTGAGACCGTCAACGCACGCTGATAGTAGCCCACGGCCTCGGGGATATTTCCCTATACATATCAGATAATGATCAATACCAACAAACAGTTACGTACGGAGTCTTTGATAAGGTTTGCGATGTTCGCGAGTGCGACATCGAAGTCGGGATTGACTTCAAGAGCCTTCTTGTACATGCTATCTCGATTCAGTAAGGTTCCACGCAGACTATTGTTAACCTCACCGCACAGCTTCCAATGGACGGCCTTGATCTTTTAGTAGTGATCCATAATTTGTCAACAAGTGTGGATGATTAGGGTCCATAGATAGACCCTTCCTATAATACAGTTGTGCCAATACAAAGCCATTGATGACTTCACGATTGCCTTGCGCGTTGGTAGTGCTGGCAGAATTCTTGACCGTGTAGAAAAGAATACCCATATTATTATAAGTTGATGGCGTTGGATTGAGAGATATGGCCAGGTAATAGATTATAATGATTAATGATAGGCTCCGCGGAAGCGGCTTCCCAGGTCCGAATGGCGCACCGCCATGTGGCAGGTCTTTAGTTTGAAGACTCTTTGCTATGCTCAGGAGAATTGTCGAAGTGACTTTAGTAGCTCCTGGATCATCGGCTCCTGGTGCAGGGACCCAAGGGTGCTCGTATGACGCGCGGACACAAAGTGCGGGAAGAGTTCGTGAAAAGACACTAAAAAGAGTCTCTGGTATTCGAGACACCTTTTCTGGTGTAAGCATGACCATAGGAAGGGCGCCTTTCCCTTGGTTTAGAAGCATTTCGACCAGCTTTTCTCCTGCCTCATGTACGAGAGCCAACCAGTCGACACCTCGATCTAGCATGTTACTTGTGAATCGTACTGAATCTATATTCATTGCGTTTGCTATAGATTTCAAAACCGGGGAATTCGGGAGCTCGCTGGCCAGCAACCCGATGACCACCGTCGCAATAATGATATCGCGGAAATGTAGAGGGTCACCGACTTCCATAGAACCAGGTGCACGAAACATGAGCTCTAGGCCTCTTGTATGATCATGTAAAGCCGCTCGGGAATCGGCTTGGATCACCGCACGTAGGTTACCGCTCGTATAGAGTAGATTTTGAAGACGATGCAAATGTGCAGGTGGTATAAATACAAGTAGGAGACCATCTGAGCGGATTAGGATGTTCAAAACATGGTCGAGTACTCCGATCGCCTCGTGATATCTCGGAGGGACCACAACCCCATCAGGCAGCGTGGCTGGTTCACAAAGTACATGGAGTAAATTATCCTATCAACATGAAACCATGTGTCAATTTATCAGAATGCTTATCCAGTTTGACAGCTCACGATCGCATCCCAATATGTTGGTCGTAGCTTGATCGCCTTCATCCATAACGATTCGGCCTCCTTGATGGCACCTTTGACCTTCATAACCATACCTAGGTTAGAAATGGCTTCTACCTGGGGTAGTGTGTGAGTGAGATCAGGGAAATTGTATGAATACCCACGTAATTTCCGTCGATACTCAATATCTCGCTGCAAACGTTTGCACAGGTATCATAGTTGCCTATAGAGAACTGAACGCAGCTCAGAAGGAGTAGTGTCGGTAAATGACGCGGATGTTGACTCTTGATAGAATCCAGTAATGAAAGGAGCTGCTGATGGTGTGCATCTGGGAGACCAGATTCTGGTTGCGACTGATGAGGTACAGAGGTTAAACCTGGAGGTTGATGACTGAAAGCATTGTTGTAAAGGCGGTGTGCGTAGGCCAATAGAGCGTCACGAGCTATAGAAGTTCCCAGAAAATTGCCATGTATGCCAAACTGAACTCCTGTAGGAAAGCCAAATAAATTTGAATTGAGATTGCCTTGTGGATGGAGGGCTTGGCTGAAAGAGCGATAATTAGGTGGCGAATTTCGTGGAATATTAGACCAGGGCTGAGAATGAGGGTGAACACCGGTTCCCTGTGCCGGAGATGGCGTATTGGGCCAAAGTGGCGATTGCCCATGACCGTTTAAGCTCGATGAACCGTGTGGACGCATACCCTGAAATGGAGAAAAAGGGTGCTGGTGGTTGAGAGCTGGAGGGGTATGTTCATTGGATGTTCGTGGAACTCGAATGAGAGAGGGGCTAGAACGACTTTGAGAAGGAAATTGGTAGATAATGTTTGTAGATTCCGCTTCTCCGGACGCCCGTACCGTTGGACTTCCGGGCCCATTCACCAGATGCCCAGAGACAAGATCTGGAGTTGATCTGAATGTTGTGTGAGGTTCTATATCTCGCATTGAACCTGGCCACGAGTCACGAGTTGTGCCCGGGATCCCGTGCAGCTGAAGGCCAATGGATTCATTGATTTGACTTGGGCCTGGACGTGACGTCGGATGTATTGATGGACTAGTAGGAGGAGAATTGGAATAAATAGACGATAGGGCTGTATGTTCCACGGAGGCGGAAGAGTCAACGAAAAAGCTGGATGATGATATTGAGGTCAGAGGAGTGCTCAACGCTGAACCATCAGGATACAGCTCTGTAATAGAGTCGGAAGTTTGAGGCAATGGAGCAGCGGTTGTCTTGATAGAACGAGCAAAGTAGTCGCTGTTGCTGGGAGAAATAGCTGGAACAATTGGAGAAGCTGGCATCTCCTGAATCGCTACATCCTCATCTTCCTCTTGATAGTCTCTTCGTGAAGCACGATGAGAAGGGCTGTGGAAAGTTCGAGAAGCTGTAGCACTATTAGATCCATTTACAAATGTC